GAACATAAAATTCGAATATTGGTTTGATTATAGAACGATTGTAAACGTTCCAGAAACGTTGAAAATAGTTCGTTTGACTAAACGTAAAAATTCTCTAATTAGTCTGGAAACGGGGGACCTAATTCTTGCATTCTGTGAAAACGGGTAAGATTAGCTATAATGTAATTATCTTAATCTTCACTATCGTTACTTTTTGCCCAGCGAAGCGGGTCCTTGCAGCTAGATTCTAAATAAAAATTGAAAGTGTCAGTAGTAGTAATTTTTTAAAATATCCTTATTTGTAATAAAGTTTTAATGCTTATTACTATAATCTAGACATGTTAGTTCTTAAATATACTTGTATATTTAAGGATTGGGTCAAAATATACTTGTGGCCCAAAACTTGGGTCAAAATATACTTGTGGTGACTTCCAATGTGGCCCAAAACTCCATGACTTCTTCCAATGTGGCCCAAAGAAACAAAAAGGTTGGACACCCCTGGGTTAAAGTGTAACATACAAAAAATGTTCAAAAAAATTTTGTAGTTTAAGTGAAAAGCTAGTAAGTTAATCACTAAATATATTTGGCATTATATCGTAAAAGAAATTTCAACAAACGAGTTCAATTCATTTTAAACTAACGAAACACAAATACAGTAAGATCCTGCTTAACGCGGGGGATGCGTTCCTAGACGACAAAGTGCTAAGCGAAACAGCGTCAAATGAGGTAATTTTAATACAGTAAATAGAGAAAGGGGGAACACGCGGATCAAAAATAAACAGATTTTATTTTAATTTTAAGTTATTTTTACATTAATTTGCATAATAATATATGTTAAGTAACACAAACATAAAGTTCATGTTTTGTGACGAAGGTCCCGGCTCTTCCGAAATTTTTGTTTTTTGTGATAAAGTCGCGTAGTTTCATTTGTCGCTTTTTGTTTTCCTTAAGCAAATTTCGGTAGCAAGAGACGCCATTCAAAATGCCTCATCTCGCTTTTTCACTCCTTTCAAAATCCGGATCCTTTGCCGATTTCGGTTATCGTCACCAAACTTTTACTAAGGAAATCTGTAGAGAAATTTTTCTGTCGGGTTCTTCGTTTTCAGAATCTCTATTTTCCAGTTCTACACGAATTCCCCGTTCTGCCAGTTCTCGAAAGTCGTCGTCGGCAAGTCTCTCACGGTAACTCTGTTGCGGTCGCAAACTACTTCTTGTCGCAAACTAAATTCTTGTAAATAGTCAACATTTCTGTAAGGCGGTAAATTGCCCGGAGCATTAGCCCATGAAGACACTTCTGGACTAGCTACCGAGACTACCAGTCGCCCCTACGCTATGCTCCACGAACTGTGCTACCGCTCGTCATAAAAGCCAAAAAGATTGTAAGATTGGAGTCAGAATTTAATCTACTATTAGTTAATAAAGATGATATGTCTTTTATGTTACAACATGTCGGTTGATTTACTTTAACCGGACAGTCGGGATACAAACCCGACATTGGTGACCCAAACAAAAGACGAACACGTGCAAGTCTCAGGAGCTTGGACCGAGCAGCTACAATCCACTGGCATCGAAGAACATCGCATGCGGATTGTACAAAGGTGGACAGCTACAGCATCGAGGGGACAGATTTAAAGTGAGGATACAATTTTATCCAGCAAAATACTCGATTTTGTGGATTATTTGACCACGTGTCTCGCTAACCCTAACGCTCGAAGCATAAAGGCAGACGGATCGTCGCAACAAAAGTTTCATTTCGCAATTGTAAGTACGAACTTTTTTTGGTTGGTTTTCTCGAGCGGCACCCCCAAGAAGAAATGCAATCCTCGCAATCAGGGACAATCACCAAAGTTTCTGTTAAACCACCTCCCTTTTGGAGAGCGAACCCAGAAATTTGGTTCAAACAGATGGAATCACAATTCTCACTAGCGGGAATCACCATGGAAGTAACGAAATTCCATCATGTGGTTTCGGCACTCCAGCCCGAGGAGTTAGCAGTCGTAGCCGATATTATTCTAACCCCCCCAGTGGACAAGCCGTACGAGGCTCTTAAAGCCCGTCTGTGCCGACAATATGCCGACAGTGAGGCGCAAAGGCTTAAAGACTTAATTTCGGGAATGCAGCTTGGGGACAAGAAGCCATCCAGACTGCTGTTAGAAATGCGTAGCAAGGCGTCAGCGCACATAGGTGATGACCTGCTAAAGTCGCTGTTCTTACAACGTTTACCATCTAACGTCCAGCAGATCCTGGCCATCTCGAACGACAGCCTCGACAAACTGGCAGAGATGGCGGATGGTATAATAGCTGCAGCCGATAGTCCCGTTTCCGTACAAGCAGTCTCTCAGGGAGACCAAACGCTACAGACGTTACTTTTAGATATCTCCTCCCGCCTGGAACGACTGGAAGGTAGGGATAGATCCCAAGCTAGAGAAAGATCCACGAACCGCCGGAGACGATCAAAGAGCCGCGAAGGGGCGCAGAAAGAAGGCCAATGCTGGTACCACCAGCGATTCAAAGAAAAAGCACTGAAATGCACCAAACCCTGCAGTTTCCAACAGGGAAACTAGAAGGGCCGTCACTTGACGGTGCGGGTGGCGGCGCACTAGGAATACACCGTTTATATCTATATGACCAATCAACGGCCAAACGCTTCCTGGTCGACACGGGGGCAGATGTGTCAGTCATCCCTGTGCCACAGGAGCAAGCAAACCGATCGCCCGAGAAATTACAACTTTTCGCTGCTAATGGGACGACAATAAATACCTTCGGCCAGAAGCTTTTCAAACTGGATCTAGGCCTCAGAAGAACCTTTCACTGGCCATTCATCATGGCAACAGTCTCTCAACCCATTATCGGAGCTGATTTTTTACGCCACTACGGGTTACTAGTAGACATTCGCCGCAGCTGCCTAGTCGATCCACTGACTAAGATGAACTCAAGAGGAAAAGTTACAGTGGGCTCACCAGCTGCCGTTAGATCAATAAGGGAAGACACGCCTTTTCACAAACTTTTGGCGGAATTTCCCAATCTGACGGAGGTTGCCACAGCACCCCACCCGGTACAGCATAACGTGCAACACCACATAGAAACGAAGGGACCCCCAGTTTTCTCAAGGCCTCGACGATTACCGCCTGAAAAACTTAAAGCAGCAAGGCAAGAATTCGAGTATCTAGTCGCACAAGGCATCTGCCGCCCCTCAAAAAGTAGTTGGGCTAGTCCATTGCATATGGTGCCTAAGAGCAACAAGGACTGGCGCCCTTGTGGCGATTTTCGAAGACTTAACGCAGCTACCGTCCCTGACCGATACCCCGTACCACATATGCAAGACTGCGTACAAATGCTGGAGGGAAAGCGGATATATTCAACATTAGACCTAGCAAAGGCATATCATCAGATCCCTGTCAAAGAGGAGGACATTCCGAAGACCGCAGTCACTACTCCTTTCGGACTTTTTGAATACCTGTTTATGCCTTTCGGCCTTTCAAATGCAGCTGCTACTTTTCAATTCTTCATGAACCAAGTGCTACAGGGATTAGAGTTTTGCGTCCCATACTTCGATGACGTACTAGTCGCCTCAGCCGATGCGACAGAACATTTACAACATCTTCGCATAGTGTTTGAACGCTTCACACAATATGGTGTGAAGCGTTCAAACACTATGCCTCGAAATGTGTTCTAGGAAAATCAACCATTCCGTTCTTGGGCCACTTGATATCCCCGGCGGGCATCACGCCATTGCCAAGCAAGGTAGCAACAATTAAAGAATACCCAAAACCTACTACGATCAAGGAACTTCGCCGTTTCTTGGCAATGATCAACTTTTATAGAAGGTTTATTCCCCAGGCAGCCCACACGCAGGCAATCTTACACGCCTATCTAAAGGGGACAAAAAAGGGGGATAAGCGAAACATCGAGCTGACACAAGCCGAAACAGAGGCTTTTGAGAGGTGCAAATCGGATCTAGCGAAAGCCGCCACACTGGCTCACCCATCACCAAAAGCACCACTGGCAATCATTGTCGACGCATCAGACACAGCAATAGGAGCTGCGCTACAACAGCAAGTGTCAAGCAATTGGCAGCCATTAGCATTTTTTAGTCGGAAGTTCTCGCCGGCACAAAAAAAAATACAGTGCCTATGACCGGAAGCTGTTGGCTGCATACACGGCCATCAAGTACTTTAGGCATATGGTTGAAGGTCGACTGTTTATATTATTCACGGATCATAAACCACTGACTTATGCCTTCCAGCAAAAAGCTGACAAGTGTTCTCCGAGACAACTCAGACATTTGGACTTCATCAGTCAATTTACTACAGACATTCGTTTCGTAAAAGGAATGGACAATGTAGTAGCAGATGCTCTCTCACGCATCGCCATCTCCACCATCGAGACACCATAGTTTATAAACTTCCAAGAGATGGCGGTAGCGCAACAAGGAGACACGGAACTACAAAAATTCCTAAGTAATACACCTAACTCTCTTAAGCTCCAGTCGCTGCCAGTAGGAGAGCCAGCTGTAGACCTATATTGTGACGTTTCCACCGGCCGGATACGACCATTCGTACCCAAGGACTTTCGTCGGCAAGTTTTTGACCAACTTCACGGACTTTCTCACCCAGGTGTTAGAGCTTCAATTAAACTCGTTCAAGAACGGTACGTATGGCCATCAATGAGAGCCAACGTGTCGGCATGGGCTCGCACATGCATTCCATGCCAACAAGCAAAAGTCTCTCGACACACCCGGAGCCAGTTGGGCCTCTTTATCGCGCCCAATGCCAGATTTGAACACGTCCACATCGACTTAGTAGGACCCTTGCCTCCATCAGATGGATACAGATACTGTCTCACCTGTGTTGACCGTTTCTCTAGATGGCCAGAGGCATTCCCTCTAGTCGAAAGCACTGCACAAGCAGTAGCAGAGACGTTCTACTCAGGATGGATAGCCCGTTTTGGCCTACCACTGCGCCTAACAACGGATCAGGGAGCACAGTTCGAGTCCTCGCTTTTCTCAGCTTTTACTTCTTGGTTGGGAACGAAGAGGATTCGTACAACTCCCTACCATCCAGCTGCTAATGGACAAGTAGAGCGGTTTCATCGCCAACTTAAAGCTGCAATAATGGCCCATTCCACCAGCCGTTGGACTGTCGCACTCCCGACAGTACTCTTAGGATTTAGAGCCGTGTGGAAGGACGACATACAGGCGACAGCAGCAGAGATGCTCTACGGAGCCTCTTTACGGATCCCAGGTGAATTTCTCTCTCCAACACAGGACCATCCCGACCCGGCGACCTTCGTCGGCAGGCTGAGAGAAGAAATGCACAAACTCAGACCCGTCACACGTCCACACAGAAATGCTGCAGTGTTCGTGCACAAAGACCTTTCCTCCTGCGCACACGTCTTTCTAAGAACTGACGCAGTCCGAAGAGGACTGCAACCACCTTACGAAGGTCCATACCGTGTGTTAAAGCGTGGACCCAAAAACTTCAAACTGGAAGTAAAAAAGCGTCATATTACTGTCAACATCGATAGACTCAAACCCGCATACATATGTGCGGATGACTCAACGTTCTCCCCATCTACATCAACAACAGCTTCAGCAGAAACAGCAACAACAGAGGCAACAACAACGGTACCCCCAGCAGAAGCTTCGCCACAGCAACAGAAAACTGTCACACGCGCAGGTCGTCGCGTAAAATTTAACCCCAGGTATTTGTAAATATCTCGCTATCGCTGGCGGGGGACTACTGTTGCGGTCGCAAACTACTTCTTGTCGCAAACTAAATTCTTGTAAATAGTCAACATTTCTGTAAGGCGGTAAATTGCCCAGAGCGTTAGCCCATGAAGACACTTCTGGACTAGCTACCGAGACTACCAGTCGCCCCTACGCTACGCTCCACGAACTGTGCTACCGCTTGTCATAAAAGCCAAAAAGATTGTAAGATTGGAGTCAGAATTTAATCTACTACTAGTTAATAAAGATGCTATGTCTTTTATGTTACAACATGTCGATTGATTTACTTTAACCGGACAGTCGGGATACAAACCCGACAACTCGTCAATAACCCACCTGTCTACATATCCTAGTCCCTCCGTATCAATTAGGTCGACAATTTGGTCAACCTAACGATACGGCGACAGGCCCTTCTTGTCGAGAATTCTCGGATACCTTCAGCCATAACTTCTTCCCCACTCCGTTCGTGCATTTATCGGTTAATTCCTGCCAAGTCGATATTGCCTACGTAATCCACGACGTTATATTTTTTCCAAAATTGCACAAAACACGGATTTAAGGAAAGTACGGCGCTACGACAAATTGCCACCTTTTGCCGATTGGTTGGTGTTCGGGAATAATCTTAGGTTAATGTCCAGATACGTGGACTGTCATGGCGGCACTTCCTGTTTCAGCCTCGAAACCAAAGCGGTTTGGAGACGACATATCACGTGACGATGCGAGCGATCGGCGGTGGCTACTGCGCTGCGATAAACGGGGAAGACCGACGCGCGGGTTAACGTCCATATACATAGACCGAAAAGGAAACAGTGGGGACGCACGTTCTAACCTAATAATATAATTGGTAATAATTATGATAATTTATTAGAATAGGTTAGGTTAGAACGTGCGTCCCCACTGTTTCCTTTTGTTTGCTGGAATCAGCGATGAGGCGCCATGACAGCCGCGGCGCAGTAGCCGTCGCCGTTCGCTCGCGTCGTCACGTGACATGTCGTCTCTAAACCGCTCCGGTTTCGAGGCTGAAACAGGAAGTGCCGCCATGACAGTCCACGTATCTGGACATTAACCTAATCGTATTATATACGAATCGACGAAATGCCTAGATAATTTGAATCGGCGTAAATTTCGAGCGTTTTTTAGGCTTCACCCCGCGTTATATCGAATCAGCGTTAAGCGGGGTCTTACTGTAACTTAATGTGACGATTAATCACATCTGATATCAGCCAACTCCCAACTAAAATTTAATACAAAATAAAAATACCTCAAAAAAAAGTTTTTAACTTGGTCAGAACACCAATCTAAATAGCCCGCTCCATGCTGAGTAGAATTAGAAAGCAATAATAATCTTCTTACTACATTCATCTTTACAGAAATCGAAATTTTATTTATAATTAATCACCTGACCGAAAAGTCACGTTGAAAACACGTTATAGGGAACAGTGCTGACACCTCACCAACGCGTACGCTTCGCACCCACCCCCCCAAAATATATTTTATTAATTAATTAAACAAACTATCGCCAGTTTTAACTAAAATTAATAACGTAGAGAAATTTTAAAGCAAAAATTAAAATTTACTCAAATATTTAAGTTTAATTTTATTATCGTATCACTTGTATACTATTTTAAAATAATTTATTTACGACAGAAATGTCTACAGGTATAATTTAAATTAATAATATAAAATTACTATTAATTTTAAATTATAATTATTAATCGAGACGATTAGCTCGTTTTTAATTTTTGTCGATTTGCCATTCAAAACTCGTCACTAAAAATGTACAAGAAGAAAAGGCGGAGTTAAAAGAAATCTTGACCAATTACGGAGCTCGGCGAGCGTATACGAGGAATTTCAAATTTTGTTTTCACTCCAGATAAAATCAGTGCTTAAATTTTAATTTTCTAGAAGAAAGAAAAAAACATCTAACTGTTGACTTTTTATTTTTCTAAAACGTTAATAATGAGGTAAGTTATCGCCAATTAATTTACGCGTTGTCATTTATACAAAAGTAGATAGACGATTTCCTTTAAAAGGCAAATTTCTTGTCGGTGATCCGAACGTTAATTTCTGTTTGGAAGAAAATAAAACACGTGCCGAATATCTTCACAGTTTTGCATGCAATAAATACATTTAAACTAGTATAATTTTAATTAAAATTTCTTATAATTAACTTTTACAAGAAAATAATTAAATTAAAAATCTACTAATGTGAGGTAGATTCGTGTTAATTGCTGATGTAATCGATTTCAATGTACAGTACACCCCTTCTCGTTTTTATTAATAAATGTACTCCATTGATACCTGGGTGTTTGTGCTTATTATCACACCAGTAGTAGATTTTTAATTAATTAAATTTATACCAAGGGCTAAAAGCAATTTCTTTAAAATAATTTAAGTTTGGTTAAAATTGTCTTTTATACATTATACAAGGTATATGTCCAGTTTAAACTCTCCCTTATCTGGTTGATCGCGGGCACTCGAAAATTTTCGAAAGTGTTCTACGCTACTCCAAATTTTCTGCAGTGTTTTTTCCTATCCGTTTGATGAGTTTATGAAGAATCTCTACACTACCCCCGCAAAACCGTAACATTTTCATTTAATCTGGCCCTGGTGCATACGTGCGTGCTTGTGTTTCTACTTAGGAATGGATAAGTTTTACGCATTTTAAAATGTCGGCCAAGAGGAAACGCGTAGTGATTGCCGTCGAAGAAAAAATTAAGGCTATTGAAAGAGTAGAAAAAGGTGAATTAACAAATAATATAGCAGATGAACTTACGTTGGAACTTCGACGGCTAGTGACCGGGTCAAATTGAAGGAGAAGCATGTCGGTTATTTTTTAATACTTGTGGTATTTTTGTCTTGCCAATGACAAAAATACCACAAGTATTAAAAAATAAAAATCCTTTACCAGTGTTTTAAAAAAAATCAAAAGAATGCCTGGATGTCATCCAAATTGTTTAGTGAGTGGTTTTGTCCCAAAAGTTAAAAAATACCTAGAATCTAATGGTTTGTCTTTCAATGGTTCTAGAATCGAATTGGTTCTTTTTGTCTCCAAATGTTACTAGCTTGTTGCGACCTTTAGACCAATGTGCAGTAGAAACGTTCAAGAGATATGTCAGTTTTTGCAACTGATTGATACCATTTTTTGGATAATCTTAAACTGATAAACATAAAAGATGCAATATTCTGGTGTGCTGAAGCATGGGGAAGCTCTAAAGCTTTACCCTGAAAAAATGTTGGAATAAACTTTCCAATGAAATTTCTTAAGATTCAGAAGAAATCCTGGAGCTTGATTAGACAAATACTACACAAAAAGTTCCCCGTTGTAAAAGCCTCGCAAAGCAGAAGTTAGAGTGGATAAAGAATGAAGAAGTTTGTAAGCTTGTGGATCGAGAAATATTAAAGTTTGTGAATAAAGAGGAAAATGATGAGATCAGTGATGACAAAAAAGAGCCCACTGAAGAGAAATGTGTTTATTCAGAGGAAGCATTTCAAGCATTAGAAATAGATGCTTACTTTTTATTACTGTTTACCTTTTTGTAATGCAATGTGTACTTTTTTAATTTTTATTAAAGTTGTCTTGAAGTTCATAGACGAACACAATTCGTTAACTGCCACTGACATGATAACAATGAGGCATTGGCATGATGTAATAGCTTGTCGGCAAATTAAGCAAAGAACAAAACAAACAGCTATAACATAATATTTTTGACAATTACAATGAATTTTGAAAGTAAGCATCAAAGTCAAAAACATTTTTATACATACAATAGGTATATATTGTACTGTACATTAGTCATATTTAAAAAATATCACCTATCCTTATCAGATTTTTCTCCTATCTCGATCACTCCTGTCTAATTCAGATATGGGAGAGTTTACTGTATATATATATTTAAGGAGGATTTATTAAAAAAAAATATTTTTTAAAAGCAGTCAATACACAAGAAAGGTTGGAAACCCTTAGTGAAAATACAAATAACAATCATTTGTAAGATAACATACACAGGATAACATACAAAGTCCTGATAATTCCAAGTGGAGAAGGGGATGGGACCAAAACTACTTCAAATTACAAAAAACTTTACTCAGAATGTCAGCTCCAGTCTGTATTCATTCTAAGCTCAGCTCATTTAGTAGAATTCTAGTCTGGATACAGAATGTTAGTTAATTTTTAATTTGATTGGGAGATTGATATTATTTAGATTTATTATAACTGCAATTAGATAATATAATTTGAATTTTATAAAAATATATAACAAACATTAATACCAGATACATTCTAACCTATGCACCATCAATGCCATAAGATATTGGGCTAGATAAAGGCTATAATATTATTTAATTACGAAATACTGTAATTTGGAACTGGAGTGAAAAAAAAAAAAAAAATCGGACCAGAGTGGGACTCTAACTCACAACACATGCTAGATCTCCTCTTCCAGCATATATAGGCTTACATTATAACCATTCACAGTTATTAGAATGCTGGCTGGGGACACATCAAGCGCCCATGTACTGTAAACATCTCCTAAGGCACTCAACTAGCCATTGCAAACCCTGGCAAGGCATATATATAAATAAACAATAACATTAATGCCTGATACATTCCAACCTACAAGACATGGGCATTTGATGTGTCCTCAGCTGGCATTGTAATAACTGTCAATGATTATAATGTAAGCCTATATATGCTGGAAGAGAAGATCGGACTAGAGGTCCAGGTAGAGTAACTTGCAATGCATCTGCACAGTAAGCAGGTATTATGGGTTTGAGTCTCACTCCAGGCCTATTTTTCCTTCCAGTATTTCCAAATTTATTTAATTAAATAATATTATAGCATTTACCTAGCCTGAAATCTTATGGCATTGATGGAGTGTATAGTAAACAAGTTATTTTAAATTATTTTTTAAGTTTCCTAAATGTTAATTTAATTTATTAATTCAAAACAATAAATTTTCTTTACAGATTTCCTATATACAATATAAATGCAATATAATTATGGAAAAGAAATCAAAGTTTTTATCATGGTTAAAATTTTCTTCACATAAAAATTCAAGTAAAAACTCCCATGAAAGTCAGAAGACTGAAAATAATGTTCCTACTGTTGGCTGCATGAGAAATATGTATCATCTATCAAATTCTAATGGTGAAATATTTCTCCCTGTACAGTGTTGTCAACACTGTATTCATCAACCAGAACTATTAAGTTCACAAAACTTATCATGTCAGAATTCATGCAAAATGAGGCATCAAAATTGTGGAATAACAGCCATGCATACAAAATATGATGAAATAACTAAACATATGCAAGCTTTAAAAGTAAATAATGAAAATTTACTTTGTGGTTCACATAGAGAACACAACTGTTGTTGGAAATACAGACCTGAAAATCAGTGTTATCCAAAAGCATTTGAATTTAGAACTAATTCAAAGAAATCATGTTGTCAACATCATAAATGTTCAAAAAAGTACTATAAATTTCTAGAAACAAGCAAAACTGAATCTTGTAAACAGCCAAGTAAATATAGAAGTATTGGTGTGAATACAACACCTCAAAAAATTACAACAGCACAAGAACAATCATTAAAATCAGCAGATAAATGTTTAGACACATATCAAAACTTTCCACACTGTTCTAGATTTAGACATTTGGGATCTGAAGATGATATGAAGAAAAAGCAAACAAAGCATAAAAGATGTTCTCAAATAGAAAATAATCCAAAACTAACAGAATATAGACATTACAATCACTTAAGAGTGCATATTGAGGATAAATCCTCATTAAATTCAAATAGTAATCCAGAAAGTTACTTGACACAATCAAGATTGTACAGTGCAATGATTCATGCTAACAAAGAAAATAGACAAATTTTAAAAATTATGGAAAAGCATAGGATGCACCGTTATAATAGGACTTTGCCAAAAACCTGGAAACAAAAAGCATGGTTGCAAGATGATGATCATAAATCAACATTTGCAGATGATGAGAAGAGTGAATTTAATGACAGTTACACTACAAATTATTATACTAGCAAGCAAACTTGCCTATAAACTTTATTTTAAAATGAAAGCTTTTACTTTTTAACTGCAAACATTTTTTACTATAATCACAAGACATTGTAAAATTCCATCTATATGTTATGGACAAAGTGATAAATCGGGCATTATGAATAATGACCAAATAGTGTGATAAATATTGATTAATTTATCAGATTGACTGGTCATTATGAATACTGCTATCACCTAGTCGGGCAAAGTGATGATAATAAGTTGAGGAGTGATCATCTGACAATCGGTACACTGAGTTGCGTGTGCGTATCGTACAGCATTTAGTACAGAATTTTAAATTTGATTAAAAAAACCCCACTTATTTCATTTAGAAATATTTATTTTTTGTAAATTATATCAAAGTACTATTAACTATATTAATTAAACTAATATTAACGAAAAGTATTATTAACAATTTTTGGTATAAATTATATAAAAAATTAAATGTTTTTTAGTTTATTTATTTGAGCAATTAAGATTTTCATGACATTTGGAATTACATAATTTTTTTTTCTTTGGTAGCATTTGCATCTATTAGATTTTCAACCAATTTTTCAGCAGCATTAACTATAGTTGTGGCCTTCAGAAATTGATGACATTCTTGCACATTCTCTAAGTGAAATTTCTGCACCCGGTACATCTCCAACAGAAATAAAGTTTTCTTTACAAACAGTAAATTGGTTTCTGGAATATAATAGATTTAATATGCCATGTTTGGTACCCAGTTTGTAAAAGTTTTTATCTTTAACTGCAACAACGAAACCTAAAATATTTTTTCCATCACTGCGGGCTCGATCTACATCAGGTACACGAATCCTTACTGTATCATCAACAATAGCTGCTGTGTATTTGGAATTTTGATGTATTAATAATTTTTTCTGCTTAAATTTTAAGATTAAACAAAGCCCTTGTTTTAGACACACTTCTTATTTTTTCTTCTATTTTTGGATCAATTGTTTGGATAGTTTCTTCTTCATTCACCAATTCTGTAATACTAATAACATCCTGGTTTAGATTTTTTTCACGTGAAGACAATGTAAATCTTTGAACTTCATCAGTTATATTGCTATGTAAGGGTGGCATTATCAAATAATATTTCATAATATTTTCTTGGACAGTACCCGGACTTTCAGAGTTTGAGCAACTTTGACTTACTTCGTTGATAGTTCTAAAAAGTCTCTGTAGATCCTCTTCCGTTTTAATGTTGAACAATGATTCGTTGGGTATAAAATTCTTTAGTCCAACTTTTAACTTTGCTCCAAACATGGCCTCATAGGGGCTGCAGTTTATACCAGTATGATGCGCTCGATTTTTCATCAGTAGTACAAAACGTAATCCTTCCGACCATTTGTTAGTATTGTTAATCTCCAACCAAGAACTAAGCATATTTTCTACGTCTTGATTACATCTTTCTACTGAACCCTGACTTTGTGAGTGCTTGGGCTTTCCATGCATCATTTTTAACTCGGACCACATATTACACATTTCTTTGATAATATTATTGGCGAATTCTCTGCCATTATCGCTTTGTAGAATAATTGGTGCACCGAAAATTGTAAAAATATCTAAAAGAACATATGCTACTTCTTCAGCCCTTTTGGTTTTTAACTCATTTAATCGGTTGTTGAAGCGATTATTCATATCACTTAATGATTCCTCCATGATCGTTACTTTTGTCAAAGAAGAAAGATTAACTACTGGTCACATAAATTTAAAGTTCGGTACTAAATGCAATACGCATGAGCAAGTAAGACGTGAGTTCTGATTGGCTAACATATGTCGGATGATCACTCTCAATGTATTATCATCACTTTGCCCGACTAAGTGGTAGCAGTATTCATAATGACCAGTCAATTTGATAAATTATTGAAATTTATTACAATGCCCGATTTTGTTGGTCATTACTCATAATGCCCGTATTCAGTGGTGATATTCGAAATATTTAACAAAGGGTTTGCTAACAGAAAATTTTTTCTTAATTTTTTTTTTTTTGCTCAAATGGTGCAACAGCAACATTAGCGCAAAAACTGACCTTACGATACCCATATAAATAAAAAAGATGCGTTCGAAAAATTAAGTCAGTTAAAATTTAAATTTTTTATGCCAGAACTATATATATATATTTTTATAAATAATAAAAAAGAGCATTCAAAATGGTTTATTTTGTACATATTTTATTACGACACGTGTTCCGCAGCCATCTTGTATTTTCTCGCGCGCGTGGGATTGTGGGATCTCTCTTATCCTGGATCTAGTTTCAAAAACTCTATTGAATCGACCGCGATTGAACCTCGTTTCAGTCAAGATTGAAATGGTCAAGGGAGGTCGCACCAAGGCGAACGGGGTATAAGACTCTAGTTTAGTAGTGTTACAGAGTATAATATGTATATTTTAATATATTTTTTAAAAGAAACAAAACCACTGAGAAATGTTACGTGTGTTTAACAAGGTTCGGAAATCTTTTAAAATGTTAACAACGGGTTCGGCCGAACCTGTGCGAACCCGCTGAATATCACCACTGCCCGTATTAATCACTTTGTCCATAACATATATATGAATGCAGTCAAAAACTTAAACTGTAATTTAAAAAGTGTTATTTTATAAGTTAATGAATCAGTGTTATATTAGAAATCAGTATTAAAACAGTATTATAATAGAAATCAGTATTAAGTTATAATATCAACTTTTTAATGTTAGAATGTCATTTTACAATACAAATGTTATAGATAATTACATTAATGTTACTGTATAGATGTATACAAATTATTTTTGATGATAAACCATTTGAGAAAAATGAAGTAATTTTATGTATTAAATAATAAGTAAATTTTTAATGCTTTTCTTCATAACCTCATGCACTTATTGCCATGTAAAGAAGCCCATTTCCTCCCTCCATTTTTTGGCAGTGTCCAGTTGTTTCCCCTTTGAGAATTTTAAAATGTACTAATTTTGAAGTTCTTATGACTGATTTAAACTATGCTGCTATCTTCTGTAGGAGCTGAGATAAGATTTGGCTCCATGAGAAGAGGACTTGAGTACGTGGCAATTATACCATAAAAAGTCCACTGTCAATTACCTGTACTCCTTTGCACTTGTTTCTGATAAGTATTAGTTAAATACAAGATACAGCTCAATGGTTTTCAACTGGAGTGCAGTGGCACTCTAGGAGTTCTTTAACATTTATGTGTATTACTAAAAGTATGAAAAATGAACTCCACATTTATAAAGAAATAGGAATGCTATGAAAAAAATTTTCAAATTGAGGATGCCACTATTAGGAGGAAGTTGAAAAATGCATATATCTTGGTACCAGTGGCAGATCCAGAAAATCTTCCAGAGGGAAAATTTACTTTTTCTTCTTTTTAGTTATTTTAATACAAAGTAAAATTTTTACAATATGGAATTGTTAGAACAACAATGCATTGTTTCACAATATCATTTATCCAGTATAAAACATATTATACAATCTAAAAATATAAGTTAACTACCAATAAGGTGGTTAACTAATATAGTGTGTAGGGCTAACTATTAATTTACAAATAAATATGTAAGTTTAGCTTCCTTTTAGTAAATCTTTAGATTCTTGTAATCACACACTGTAATGAACATTTTTACTTCAAAAAATTGTATTTCAATGCAAAACTGTAGAAAAAAAGATTATTATTAAATGATTATTTTTAAGACATGCTCAAGGGGGACAATAGTTCCCCATGGATTCACCACTGGTGTAATGTTTTGCCTATATCTTACATCAGTGGTGCACTCAAAATTTAATCTTGGGGAGCAGAGTTGAACAGATGGCGGAAATTTTATTAAATTTGGATTAAAAACTTTTTTAATGTATGACCACTAATTCATAAGTAATATAGAAATAGAAAACGAGCAATTATTTATTTTGACATTGTCACAATGATGAACTGCAACATTCATATTTTTTATTTACCGTATTTACTCACATATAAGATGAGGTTTTTATTCATTTTTGATTGCTTCAAAAACCTAGGTGGTCCTATATGCACGAGCAAAGGATTCTTTGTTTTTGCAATAATTTTTGTGAATTGTGTGTTTGCATTTTTTACCAGATGCTCACCCTCTGGTGTTTGAAACGACCCAGATAAAATACTTTTGTTTTTAATCATTCTTGTGTAGTAAAGATGAAAAGCAAAGTTTTTGAATTGAATTGCAATTTGAAATTCCAAAATCACATGGTAGCCTGATATAAGTTTTAATCCATTCCCACGTGAAAACAGATGATTATTTGGAAATCAGAATTCGGAGAAACTCATAAGGGTAATCGATGGAGAGTGGATTCAACTGTTAAGAATTAGCAAAAAAGGTTTCCAATTGTCCAACTTTACATGAAAAATTAAGGAAAAATCTTGTAAAAACAACAACAAAGTTTAAAATGCCAGTAATTTTTGTGGGACAATGTGTGCATTTACATGCATTTGCCATTTTATTTGTGATTAAATGAAATAAAATTAAATTGTATTAATAAATCTAATTCTCTTTATTTTAATCTTTAAAGTCACACCACTACCTATATGTGAGATCATCTTGTGAGTAAATACAGTATTTAATTTAAAATATATGCTAACACCTCAAATTAGTAGTGGCTGGCCCCCATACATTATACTTTTCCTGTTAGTAATAGTCGTGCTGGTCATCTAACAGGAAAATTTTTGAATTGAAATAACATGACTCCAGTTTGCAATGAATGTTCTTATACAGTTAATCAGGCCTCCGACCAAGGTTTTCCTATATGGTCTCAGATTTCATCTATTTAACTCCATTCTCGAGATTAAGAAAAGATGGACAGTGGGAATTTATAGGTCTATAATTTTTTTCAAACTGCAGCCCAACAACACAAAACAAATAAAAAAACTTTTAATTATGAAAATTTATTAGCTTTGTTTTTTACTTCAAGTATTATATAGCACACCTGTCCTATCCCTTATAATGAAATTATAAAACTTGGATTGAAGTATTGTTATCTTAAAAGCAAATGACATCCATCAACATTTTCAACAGGTAGACCAAAAGATATGTCTTTTGGTGCTAAATCAAAATAAATTTATTTTATAATACTAAGATCATAAATCAAAAGAAGTTAAGTAACAAATTGTAATGATTTATTTATACAATCCAAATAATTCTTTTGAATATAGTGTGAAGTTAAGATTTAATCTTACTTCGCACTATATTCAAAATAATTTTATCATCATATTTTTCTGCTTTGTTCAAATTATTACAGAAAAAAAGAAATTAGTATCAATATGTAACTGGTTCAAACACTGTTATTCAAAAAAAGTGTTTGTGCGTCATTCGGCTCATTTGAAAGAAAGCCCACCAAGGAAGTAAATATTGTAATTTCCGAAATGCATCTGGGTAAAATCAAGTTGTTGATAGGCTAGTATTTATGGAATCTGTGGATGTGATAATTCCTAGAGAACAATGGTGTTTGAACCAGTTACATATTGATATTTGAAAACTCTACTTCTATTCCATTTAAGTTAAAAGAAATCTAGTAATTGTATTGTATGAAAAGGTATAATTAAACTGTTATTTTCTTCACAAAGTTAAAAAACAAAATTTAGAAATATTAAATAGATGATATTTTATTTTACAGATGATCATTATTATTTTTGTTTTCAATTAATCTTCAGGATTTAAGCCATACTTTTCATGCATTTCTTTGATTGTAACTCCTTCAAATATAGCTATAAATAAAAACACATCATTACAATAAAAATATACTTCTGTAGTAATAAAGATCAATTAATTTAAATACAATATTAACCTAAATATGTCAGGCATGGTGTAAAACTTTTATTAATTTTTATTTCCTCTCGTAAATGTAAAATGTATCTTAAAAATTTATTTAAAGCCATCTTTTAATAAAAACTATAGTTTACAAAAGAGATTTAATTAAAGTCCTTCAGTGATGTTTTGACCTACTATGTTGTTAAAAATATTATTATTTAGACAATATAATAATAATAATAGAAAAAATGACTGCTTCATTTCCTTTATAAGTTAAATTTTTTAATAAGTAATTATGATAATTAAAACAGTTGGGACATCTTCTGGAATAATAAGATATTGCAAATTTGTCAGTGCATATAAACTATTAAATACATATCATCATAGTTTATCTTTAGGAAAAAAACAGTTCATAATTTCTATAAAAATGTTGGAACAAAGTTTTATTCAAAACCTTGTTTTGAAAGAACTACAATTCTTACAAGGGAAACTTTCTAAGTCATATATAAATTATGTTTCAAGAGTGTATTTGTTTCTGAGAAAAGCAAACATCAAGTTCATTTTTGTCTAACTCCTTCAAATGTCAAAAATGGCCTCAAAATTTGCAACACATCAGATGTAAGCATATCTCTTGCTACCCAATCTTCCTTGTTAGCAAAGTGGTTATAAGAGATTGCACGTTTTCTCTCTCTACCTCTGGTAACTGATTCAAATCTAATTTATAAATAAATATACATTTTTTTTTTAAATTACACCAATCACTAAATATTATTTCAACATAAAACAAGAGTATATTCTGTACTTTCTCCATTTTACATATTTCTTAAATTTTTATATACAGGGTGAGTCAAAATTATGTGAACAATCTTAATTTTGTTTCATTTTCTATTCTGAATGGTTGTGATGGACAGTTGTTATGGCCTCCCCAATCTCCAGTGTTCTGGCACTAAATTGTACTGTTGAACGTTGGTTTGAGTGCATTAATCGTGATGGTGGTCAGGTTGAGACTCTGTATAATGCAAACTTTGAGTAAATGCTTTCTCTCAAATAGTGTTCACATAATTTTGACTCGCCCTGTATATATCAAACAATACACAATCTGAAACTAATAATAAGATTAAATTTATTATCATCTAGAATAATTGATATTTAAATTGTAATATGTTTTAATAGAACTATTAAAATACTTTTAAGAAATATGTAAAAGGTTTTAGAGTCCACTCTTGAAAATATATGGTAACTAGCAGGTGGGCCCGGCGTTGCTCGGGCAAAAGTAACGATAGCGAAGATTAAGATTATTACGTTATAGTCAACCTTACCCGTTTTCACAGAATGCAAAAATTGGATCCCCCGTTTCCAGACTAATTAGAGAATTTTTACATGGGTCTAAAAATATCTTCAATTTCCTGCAAAAACAAAAACCAACAGCACTTTCTCTTAAAATGTCGCTTTCTCTTAACAATTCCATTGTTATGTAACACGTCCATTGTTGACACTTCCATTATTAACACTTTCATTGTTATTTAACACTTCTATTGTTGATGAAAGTGTTAAGCTTAATCCTGTCCCTCTCCCCCCAGGGGGGGCATTTCGAAAAATCCCTTCTTAGTGTGCATTTTCGTGACGTACCCTAACTGTGTACCAAATTTCAGCTTTCAACTCCTAACCATTTGGGCTCTGCGCTGATTATTATTATCAACTTGTCTCGATTATATATATATAGATTAGTGATTTAAAGTTAGATAAAGAACATTTTTTAATAATGTATACTATGTACAAAGAAAATTAAGGTATGACAATCATAGAATTAAAACATTTGGAAATATTTTATGAAGAAATCAATAAAATTAATTTACCAAGTTTTCCAAGAATAAGCTGAGCAATATCTTTCACTTCATTATATTCATGCAGTTTTTCAATATGCATGTTTAATTCTTCTTCTTTAAACCCTCTTGAAAAAAGTAAATTTCAAAATATATTATAAATCCTTTTCTTATAAAAAAATATCTATAATGAAAACCAATGTAACTACATATATATAATACTGAATTAATAAACATTTACATAATTTATATAAAAGATTTTACTATATAATTAAATAAGAGAACATTTATTTTATTTTTAAAAATATAATATAATAATAAATATTAAGTTTATTAGACGTTAACATCCATTACAAGGGGAATACGTACATTTTTATAAACATTATTGTTAGTATACAACTCATAATATAACAGATTTTACAATATACAAAAGTATAATTATATTCTTAACTTTAGACATACAAAAAGAAATAATACAGTTTTTCAAGATACATCTTCACAGGCAGAAGATAAGGTAATAATGTCTTCCTGTTGTTGAAATTGAGATATGATTGTAGAGTAAAATATGATATATCTATTACAAAACAAAAAGATGTGTTTCCAAGTCTCATTTTGACCGAAGTACAATATGCATATTTTTCATTAAGATTAATACAAATTTTCTTATTAAATAATACAATACAATAAAACTTTGATTAAATCTTAGTTGTATTAAAGTATGTTTAACAAAATAATTAATATTTCAGTTAAGATATCATTCTGTGTAAAAATGTGATTTAAAAGAACAATGTAATTTACAATGAACATTCTGTTCTACCTCAGACCAGTCTCTCTGTATACTTTGTTCACAATAAGATTTTATAATTATCGGCAAGTACCATTTTATCACATTTGACAAAATAATCCACTATTTCTTTAGTGAAAGTATCCAATTATATTTGTTGTTAGAGTTATCAGATTGTATTTTAATCATTCTATGGTAATATAATCTTCTGACATTTCCAAAATTCTTATCCAGAACTTAATCAACAAAACTGAAATTCTAAAACATCCCATTATTAATCGTATCATATATCCTGGAATCAATCTGGAAAGCTTATAAATCTGAGAAAAAAATATACAAAAAATAACTTCTAGATCTTGAAAATGGTTCATCTCCCAGATAGGAAATCTATAAGACAACTCAGAGTTTATTAACAAATGAAATAATTTCTTGTAAGTATTAACATTAGATACTTTTAATGCTGTTAATAAAGGCCACATTTTAAATCAAAATGGTCACAAAATTCTGTTAAAATATTTATTTTTTCTGTAGAAAATTTGGAGTAGCTGCTATAATGACTATCATCAGCATACATCAATATATGAAGCTCTTTATCAACAGAAATATACAAACCTGGAAGGCCAGATAGATTGATACGATCCACCAGTTCATTAACATATAAGGAAAGTGACAAAGGAATTAAAATTTCACTTTGCAATACACCAGAGTCTTTATATCAAATGATTCTGTATATCAATTCATAGTTTTTTAACCCCTGCTTTAGTCTTTCTATAAATATCCATTATCAAATTCCCTTAGTTTGTCTGATATCATCTTTTCGGTTTCATTGGCAAGGGAAATGGCAAAAAATTATTCACAAACTAATTTTCCTGTGTTCATACTATATGTTAGTCTATGTTGGCCTATTAACAAGATGTCATTACATAGTTTTATTTGATGGTTTTGTTTTCTTATTTCATTATTATAGGTTGGGAGTAAATGTTTTTGTCTTTCTCTTGACTCCTTTGTCTGGTGAAAGCTGCATATTCTTCCAATCTTCCTGTAGATTTTGTTGTTTCTTTTTTATAAAAGCAGTAAAAACTCGATCCCAGATCTGATAATTTCAATATAACTGGTTGGTTGACTTGTTTAGTTAAATTATATCTGAACATCATCCTGTGATACAGTCGGCAAGTCTAATAATGATTTGATAAAATTTTATGAAATAGATAATTATGCATTATTATAGAGATGTTTTCCGAAATAGGATAATTATGCATTATTATATTATTATAATGGAGACCATTGACTAAAGTGTCCATTTTGAATTACATAAGTTCTTTTTCTGCTTTTAAGTTATCAATTTGTTGTTTCAGATTAACTTCCCTTTTTTGATACTATTCTTTAGTTTCTCAAATACTTTCATGAATTAAATCTAAATCTTCTTCTATGGAAGTTATTTGATTATAGTGTCTATCATTCGTAGTATTTATTAAATCCGAAATTCTATACCATAAAACTGTCATTGAAGTGTCTGATGAGTTGCCTGGATTAGTTAATGAGGCAGGACAAATTACATTTGACTCACCTGGGGATTTCTGTGGACTCTGTGACACTATGTTTGTATGAGGATCAATTACAACCGAGGACGTATCCTGTGAGTCTTTATCCACATATAGATTGAAGTCTGTTATAAGTTTGGAGTTAGTCGAAGGTGATTGATCTTTCTTGTTGCCCAGTTTAGTACAGTTTAATGGTGGTCTTCCTCGCTTTACCGGTGAATGTCAGTATTTAGTTTTTTTTTTCAAAGGATAATAAATTATATCTAATTCTAATTTTTTCCTTACAACTAAATTAATTAAAAAAAATTACTAGTTCACAAGCTTCCTGTGTGTCGAAGCGAGAAGGAAAAGTCACCAGCAGCCTCGGCTGTCAAGACATGCCCCGCCCAAAAAACTTAATATTAAACAAACAAGTTTTATATTAGTGGATTACATTTGAAAATAAGATTCAAGCTTTGATTTGTACCGAAATTTAGTTACAGATCATTTCACGTATCTTTGTTGGACAATACTCAGTTGAGGCTGTGGAAGTTTTATGAAGTTCAAGACTCCTGTTTCATAAAAAAAATTGTTTATTATTTATTACACTTATTATTAGTAATTTAGAAAAATCACAATAATCATTAAATTATTGATTATTTTTTAAAATCAAATTTGGTGAGGTAAAAGATATATTTTTGAGATTAAATAATCTGTGAAAGTTTCATAGACATTATTACTGTGACTCAATGTTAAAGTAGTTATCATTTTATATTAAATAGTTTAATTATGACATATGTCTCTTTCAGAAATTTTTGTTGATTTTAATACTGTTTTCAGGATTAAAATTTTATAAACAAAAATGAGTTTATTGAACAATATGACATATGTTCAATAAATTCTTAATTTATCAAATCTTAAAATGATTAAAGTCAAACAAAAATATATGAAAATAATACTTTAAACAATTATTTAATTTATTAATATTAAAAATAGATATAACTTAATATCTTCAAGCATAAGAATTCATCTTCAGAAGCTACTCAATAAAATAGTAATATTTAAAAATATTCATAGTTTATTAAATATTTTTAAATATATGAAGAACTTGTGTTTTAAAAAATAATTATGTAATTGAATAACTTTGGAAACAGGTCTGAGTGCTTGAAAATACCATTAATATTTGCAACTACTTTATTGATATCAATAACTTCAATAAAATGGTTAATTATAATTTTTTTCTACAAACATTATTATTCTTTTCTTGAAATGAATGGAAGATATAAGTAATAATTTAATTTTAATTAATCAGTTTATATTTTACACGATGTTCTTTAAAAATAGCTAATAAGGAAATTATTGAAAATATACACACTCTTCTCTGAGATTTTTAATTTGCTCATCAAGATGTTGTTCTTTAGATTTTAAACTTTCAATCTGCTCTCTTATATTTTCCATACTGCAATTATTTTTATTGAGAATATGTTCTGTAAAAAAATTTGTTGTTGTTATTAATGTATAAAGTGTAAGAAAATTGCTATTATATTTTATTTCATATTTACATAAAAATTTACTAGTAATTTTTAATTTTATCTCTTCTATGACTAAATTATAATTAAATGAATAAAACTTTTCATATATTTAACATAACAAAAAGTTGTTTTAATTATTAATGGTTGGAACATATAAAAAATTGATACATTAGTATTCAAGAAAGAAAATACAAAAACAACAATTTATTATTAAAATAGGCTAAGTTAGCAGTTTCCAAAGTGGGTAGAATGGCTTATTTATGCATTAACGGGTAAAGGAGTTGCAGGGAGCACTGAAAGCGAGCTTTTTTCGAGCACGTATTCACTTACGATCAATCATCAATGGTCATTACTTATTCTGTATGTAACATTCTTACACGTTTATTGACGTAAGAATGTTATATCCAGGCTACGTCCATATTATATCGCCCAACTTTTTACCAGAAACCAGCCACTACTTAGGCGTTAGATGCATAAATAAAACCCAGAAAACTCCACACGGCCAGCCTATCCATCGGGCACGAACATAACCGACTACCAGTGTTTAGTTTCATCCACTCAAAATCAAGATATATGGCCTTCTATGGTTTTTCTTATCTTGTGAAGAAAAATCTCTACTTATACAGGGTGTATCAGAATGACGTTTTAAAAATTTGGGGGATTGTAGAGGATGAAATTTTGAACATTTTGATATAAGGAACCCATAGCCGGAAATGCGATATAAAGTTTCTACAGCACTTTGCACTTGGTATGCTGAATGAAACAGCAGAATACAGTATTTATGACAAGTTTTATTGACAAAATAGTAGAGTACAATCAAACTGTACATTGAATCAGCGGATGCACTACTTTAGAGTAAATGTTCAATGTGACGACCATCAACTTTGTTACATAATGTGCAATGACGAACCATGTTTTGTCCAACTCTCTGTAAGATGCCACGCTCCCTCTGATGACATTTCATACCATCAGAGGGGAGCATGGTATCTTACAGAGATCTTACTGTATCTGGATATACAAGAACTGTTCCTACAGGTGTATATCCACCGTAAGCTCACGAACTGTTCCTACAGGTGTTATGTACACAAGGGACTTTACATAATCTCAGAGGAAGAAGTCAAGAACAATAACATGTCAATGGATAGAAGGGTAACTACAAAGTGAAGGGCGGTCAAGCACTTCCTACTGCTGTAGAAACTTTATATCACATTTCCGGCTATGGGTTCCTTATATCAAAACGTTCAAAATTTCAACCTCTACAATCTCTCAAATTTTTAAAACATTATTCTGATACACCCTGTATAAGGATGGCCTAAAATCCTTACAGAATAACTAGTGCACTCGACCGAAATAAACCTTTTCCATATACTGTATTCTATATTTTAAAATCTGAACAGACTTGTAAGAACCATCATCTCTCATGATTTAATAATTTTCTTATACAAAGTAAATGATTGATGACGATTTGGAATTTTTTCGTCATTTAATATCATTCATTTTCCTGCCAATCGAGATTAAGTTACACCATCTGTCATTAGCAAATGCATAGTTGCCAACCTCCATCTTTCGGACTTTCGAATCTGCTTTCAAAAGCAATTGTCACTCAAGCTAGAAATTCTCCCTTTCCAAGGTAGCATCACCTTTAATGCATTGCTTCACAAACTTGGATTTACAAAAGAAAAAAGTATGCTGCAAAACTCATAACTTGATAAATCTGCCACATCTAAAGTCTTGATGCCATGTTTGCTAAGAGCGATCTTGTCATCTATTGAGAGAGGTAAATTGATTACATCCTCCTCCTAATACTAAATTCAGTTTGCTTGTATGGTGGTTGTTTAGAAATTATCCACACTTCAATATTAGCATTTTCTGAGTTCAGGTTGGCTATAAGCTATAAGGAATTAATTTTTATTACTTTTAAAAGATCAATTTTTCAAATATATTTCCTCAAAAAATTGATGAAAAACAAAACTTTATGGGTTAATTGTACCTAGATAACCCCCGTTTTTGTGCCTGGACCGCAGTTAATCAGAGACAAAGCTTTTTTTTCGTATTCTTTATTTTCTATGCATTTCGGGTGCAATATTTTCTTTAATTTGCACCCCTCTTCAGGATTTTTACATTTCTATAAATTTGGTAAATTTAATTATTACATCGGTAAATTACTACAATAGTTATACAATGGTTAACTAACCTGTTTTAAGTTTTAGATCGACATCTGCCCAGTGTTGATGTTATGTCCCCTAAGGCATTTTTAGACCGTTT